TTGGCTCTGAAACTTTTACAGTAAATCTCTAACATTATTATGTGCTCACTGTAATTTTTTAGCTCCATAATTATTAGCTTGCTAAGGTAGCTAAATAAGCTCTAGTTCAAAAATATATATTTAATCAATAAAATATCGAAACACCTTAAGAGTTTAGGACTAAAACACTTATTGGGAAACAAATCCTTACTTGACAACATGGAACGTAGCCTAGTATGTTAGTCGTTAGAGCTAGCTCACAGCTTGAGAGGCGTAATTGTATTTTAAGAGTTGCGGTTACCGTTGATTAATTACGTCTCTGCGTTGTATCCACGTATATCATAATAGGAACAACGATGGACCATGGAGTCGACTGAAGTAGCGGAAAAGATGATGCCTTGATGATCGTGTCACTATGATGGAATGCGAACTTTTGGTTATATCTTACCCAGGTAAGCCCCGGTGCATAACCCATATTATTCTACACTTTATTTTAAGCTTGTGCATTAAGTTTTAAGGAGTTGAATAAAAACCCACTTGCATATATATATCTTTTTCCTATGAGTCCTACTAGTATGTTAGGATCGTGTAGATTGCTATGCTATAGGATTTGGTAGAAGTCGAGTGATTACCTGTCACTCGCGAGAGATAGGAAAGGTATTATTGTTGTTATTATATTACTATCACATGGAATATATATGGAGGATAATTGGAGACCGGGAGGATTGGTACTTGGATCTAGACTTGGTTAGGCATTCGAGCAAGGCTCGGATTGCACTTGTTCCTCCTATGTCGGTTAAGGACCGTCCGTTGCTGTGGATGGTAGTCAGGTCACAGACTTATTATTCTGAGCACATACTTGCTTATGGGAGCGGAAAGGCTCATTGCTCTCTTGTCGTGGGTTCCAGCTCTTTCCGGACCGACTGATTGGAGGCGGGGATGGTGGAGGTCTAAGCACCACACTGAGTTCGGGACTCAGGAGTGGGGGCTTGGAGTCCAAGTTTGGATGGGGACCTAGACCCCTTGACAGAAGAGTGGTGGGTTGATCTTGCGTGTGCCTAGGGTACAAGCGGGGCGTGTGTTTTGGGGTACCCAGCTGGGATACATTGGTTCACGAATCACCATGTGATACGGTACGACTTGGCTATGGTCTAGTACCGTAGTAAGAACTGGAACTTGAAAGGTGATAAAATGGTTCTGATTGCTTACCACCTACTTGAAAGTAGCATATGTGCTTACATAGAATGGTTAGTTAATGAACTAGTGATGACTACTAATAAAAGTGAATATAAGGACCCACGTTTAGTAATGCTTCTGTAGATGCAATAACCCATAAGTCAGATAGCCTTGCATATCCTTGGAGTCTTTTATTTTCCTCTTATCGAGTAAGTCTTGCTGAGTACAATAGAGTATTCAGGGTTTTATTCCCCTGTTGCAAAAATGTGGATTTTTAAGTTCTCCCTTGGGGTGTGCTCAACGGAACTGCATAGTTTAGTGTCCTCTCTTGGGAACTTAGTGTCTAATGAAAGACAAGTACTCTTGGGAGGCATTAGATTAGGTGGTTCTGCCACACCTAAATGGCTAAAGGGGGATGAATAGCCTATAAAAAAATTCTGCAACAACACTTAAGCCAAATGATTAGATAACTAAATGGCGAAGCAAATGTTGTGCTAGCTCTACTAGTGTTCTAAGCTACCTAACCAGAATTCTAGTTATCTATGATCTCTAAATATCAAGCAATGGCTATGTCACTAAAAGCTAAGTTAGTGAGCTCTCAAAGACTAGACTAAAGAGCCTCATTAACCAAACTACTCAACAAACAAGCTAGCTCTCAAACTAGTTACACTAAAGAGCTTAGCTACACTAGAATGTAAATACAAAAGATAGGCAAGATGGTTATACCGTCGTAGCAAGAGACAATGATCAATCATAATGAATACCAAGAGATGACACCAAGATTTTTACCGAGGTTCACTTGCTTGCCGGCAAGCTACGTCCTTGTTGTGGCGATTCACCCACCTAGAGGTTCACGCGCTAATAGGCCTCACACGCCTAACTCGCAACCGAGTACCGCACAACCAACATAAGATGAGGATCCATAAGCCATGAGCAATCCACTAAAGATGCCTTTCGTGATCTTCCATGGGGAAGGCTCAAGAACCCCTCACAATCACTTCGATCGAAGCCGGCAACAATCATCAATAGCCGCTCCACAACCCTCCAATCACCAGGGCGTCTAGGTGTCGGCAAACACCAAGAGTAACAAGATCTCCACCAGCCCAAATCGCCTAACTAGTGCCACAAGATGCAAGACCACTATGCAATGCACTAGAGGCTCTCCAATCTCACTCAAATAATGAAATCAAGTATACAAGTGAGTGGATTATGTTTGTTCAGCTCCCAAATGGTGTATGCAGGTGTAGGAAGTGCCAAGAGAGTGGCCATGATCGGCCACCACCTCTATTTATAAGCCCACACTCAAAACTAGCCGTTATACCCCTTGGAGCGTTTTTTGCGAGGGCACCGAACAAGCCTCGGCAGTGCCCCAACAGTCACTTCCAACAGCTAAAAAAATAGTTGTTGGTCACCGGACAGGGTCGCGGTGGCGCCGCCATGGGGGTGGCGGTGACCAGGCCAACCCCCGAAAACATCCCTCTCTGAATTATTATTTATTTAAGTCACGTTATTTTACATATGCCGATTTACCGTATAATCTTATACATCATTAATAAAGTCCTAATCCACTATGTTGCTTGTACGTGTATAATCTTATATCATTGAAGTCATGTTATGTAATGTTTACAACACCGTTTACTCATGGATTCTTTTAGGGCTAGGAAAAAATATATGAAACCATCATATAAAGCACAGCTTGGTCCGCAATCCCTAATTCAGATTTTTTTTCTTTTGCATCCGTGAACAAGCGACAACAGCTCCACTAGGCTGGTGCCTCTCATTTATATAATTCGCCCTGTTCGTTTGAGCTTATTTAGACTACTTTTCAACTATGTAATAGTATTTTTCTCTCACAACATTTCAGCATAACTATCAGCATAAGCTAAATTTTATAAATTTCTTTAACATTTTATAGATCCAATAAATAATCTAGTATCCTATTTTTGTATTTCAAGAAATTATTGATGACGTATCAGTTAATATTTTCATTGTATTTGAAATAGTTTTTATAGATATATGCGTGTCACACATGTATATTTACTAGGATGATATAAGTAAGATTTTTAAGATACAGTGACTTCGTGAATCTCAAGATCTGTCGGCCCAGTCTGCTCATAGGGGTAGGGTTTGCGTATGTGTATTCATAGAGGTAAGTGTGCGTGCATGTTGTAGACGTCTACGTTGTACTGTATAATTCTCAAAAGAAGAAAATACATGGGGTAAATATTTCCTGTATATATAAAAACAAAGAAGAAACATCACTAACGAAAGCAACAACACGCTACACCACAGAGACCCAGACGCAGAAACCCACAGCGCTGAATCGCTGATCGCTGAACCGAGAAACCTAAACCGACACACAACTGACGTCTTGTTTAGTTCCACTCCAATTTTTAAAAAGTTACTACAGTATCTGTCACATCGAATTTTTGCGGCTCGTGCATGGAGCATTAAATGTAGACGAAAAGAAAAACTAATTGTACAGTTTTGTGGGAAATTGCGAGACGAACGTTTTGAGCCTAATTAGTCAATGTTTAAACACTATTTGCCAAATAAAAACAAAGATACTACAGTAACCCTAAAATCCAAATTTCGTGAACTAAAGCTGAAAGGCAACATAAATGCACACCCGCTCTGCACGGACTCAGAGGAGCAATGCGCTGGCTGGCTAGCTGACACCGCGGAGCCGGGACGGAATCCGTCCGCTGCCGCACGGCCGCGCCCGGGGAAAAGCGGCCAAAACCCCGTAAAAAGTCCAGGAACAAACAAGCCCAAAACGGGCGGGGTGCGCGGGCGCGGGCAAGCAACCGGCCACCCACTGAGCTCGGCTCCGCTCAGCGACAGCAGCACGGCATGGGCGCAAGCACTAAGGTCTGTTTGGTCTTCTAAAGCTAGCCGACTTACATTTTGAGCCAGGGCAGTCTAAGACAGGCTACCGTTATGCAACCTTAGATTATTTGGTTGGTCTTGACTATGATAATAGAATCACCTTGCATAAGAATGGAGGTGGACTTACCACCATCCACCAGTAGCAGCACCATGTCCGGCGAGCGATGAATCCACGCAATCCCCACCGCGGCCACGCCAATCGCCTCCGATGGCCGTCCGGCGCGGGCCTCACATCATGAAGCTTCACGATTCCAACCCACCCCTCCTCGCCCGGGCGCCGGGGGCCGCGTCGGCCGCCGTCCCTGTGCCCTCGCGAAGCACCCGCGCGCCGCCCCCTCGAGCGCCTCCGCTACGCACCCCCGCCTTCGCCCTCATCGTTGGTCTGGGTTGTTTACGTCGCCGCCTCCATGGCACGTGCCGAGCGAGAGTGCGAGGTGCGCGTCCTCGCCGACCCGGCGGCGCACATCGACCGGCTCCAGGTGCGCGCCCTCGTCAACCGGCTCTAAGGACTACGGGAGAAGCTCGCACACAAGTGCGGCAAAGGCAGGGTCCGTGGGAACAGGCGGAGGCAGGGCCGGCGGGATCCAGCGGAGGCGGGGCCGACGGGATGCGGCAAAGGCGTGGGCCCAGCCAAATTCAACGGAGGCGTGGGGAGGCGCAAGAGCGAGGAGGGAGGTGACTTGGTGGTATGTTTTCAGAAAGCCTGGTTAAGTGTCCTCCTTAACTTAGCTAAACCTGTATCTGCCCAAACCAGACAACAAAAATCGCTTAGCTGGCCTACCGGAACCTGGCTAGAGGTCAGCCGGCTAACCAAACGGCCCCTAGAAGCGGCCGCGCCTCCAGCCCAAACCCACCTCGCCTTCTCTCCCCCCCTTCGCCCCCTCTCCGAAGCCCCAACGGGGCCGGCCGGGAGCTCTCTCGCCTCCCGCGAGGCTGCGTGGTGAGGCGCGGACGAGATGAACGAGCAGGGGCTCGGTGGCTTCGGCGGGGGCCGCGGGGCCGTGCAGCTGGGCCACGGGCGGGAGGCGATGGCGCTCCTGCAGCACCACCAGCGGCGGCGGCAGCTGGAGGAGGAGGTGCGGCGCCAGATGTTCGCCGGGGTGGCGGCGTTCCCGGCGGCGCTGGGCCACGGCCAGCAGGTGGACTACGGGGAGGACGCCGGCGGGCTCGGGGACAGCGACGCGGGCGGGTCGGAGCCCGAGCCGCCGCCGGAGCGGACGCGCGGTGGTGGGGGGTCCGGCAGCAAGCGGAGCCGCGCTGCCGAGGTGCACAACCTCTCCGAGAAGGTGGTGCCGCTGCCATTTCTTGAAATCTCGGAGAGTTTTTTTTTCTCTCGCCGTGGTCTGCTTTCTTCTCAGCGCGAGTGCTAAAGAGTAAAGATCGTTGCTTGGTTTTGTTGGCTTTTGGGCGCAGAGGAGGAGGAGCAATATCAACGAGAAGATGAAGGCGCTGCAGAGCCTGATACCCAATTCCAACAAGGTCAGTGGAAACTGACAAGAGCTCTCTCTCTCTCTCTCTCTCTCTGACTCTCTCGCTCGCTTGCAAAGGTTATTCAGTTGTTAGTTCTGGACTTGACCGTAATGTGTGTTTCTGTTGTGATGTTTTTTGGGAGTGCAGACCGACAAGGCATCCATGCTTGACGAGGCCATTGAGTATCTGAAGCAACTGCAGCTCCAAGTTCAGGTGAGCAAATAGGACACGTCCACATGGTGTCGATGCATCTTTCTGGTACAAAACATTGACATAGAATTGGTACAATAGAGAGTACCCGGCCTCATTGATTCTTCATCAAATCCGTGACGGCAGACTTGCATGACTCTTGACACCAGTCGCCTTATTATAACCAGCAGGGGCCGTTTGCATTATGTGCGATGGGTGCTTCATTTTATGGTTAAAGGCTTTGTTGTTGTAAAGATAGAGAGAGCTTCATTAATTTGCCGATACCTTCCATTTTCATTTGTTTACAATTTAGGTTTGGACTGTTACCCCACTGTGGCTAAACTATTGATCAATGCCAAGCTTGCATGTTGTTTTGTTAAGTAAAAGCACGTCCCTGTTTTCCTGTTTATATGTTGGATGGCAATTTGGGCACTAAGTACTTATCAAGATGTATATTAAAACATAATCTCATCAAGCTGTGTGACCTCAAGATAAACGATATGGCTAGTGAACTGGTAGAACTGCAACGTTATGTGCAAACCCTTATATGCTGTGATACATGTACAGGAAAGGTGGTGGCAAAGATGGTTTGCAGTAGCCTAAGGTGCTAAATAATGGAGACACACAAGAAGTTCTGGAATCGCAATGTAGTGTCTAGTGATAGGCTGACTGTGTATGTGGTTAGTGTTAACCCAAAAATACTGCCCATTTCCTTACTTCACAGAAATGCTAGGCTGTTTGTGACAGTGAGGGCCTAGTTAGGAACCAAATATTGCTATGTTCAGTGAATGCATTTTCATAGCACACGTCAGTTACATACTATGCTAAGTTATATTTTAATGGGTAGCGTTAATTGCTGAACTGCAACTATAGTGTAACTTTTACCTATTATTTTGTTATAGATGCTGTCTATGAGAAATGGTGTTTACTTGAACCCTCCATATTTGTCTGGCGCAATTGAGCCTGCACAAGCATCACAAATGTTTGCTGCATTTGGCGGGGGCAACATCACAGCGTCAAGCTCTGGGGCAGTGATGCCACCTGTAAACCAAAGTTCAGGAGTTCATCAGCCATTTGACCCATTAAATCCTCCACGAAACCAACCACTGTCATTTGTATTACCAAATGTAGACAAAACCATTCAAGAAGCTCCATTTCACTTGGAATCATCGCAGTCTCACCTTCGAACATTTCGAATGCCGGAATCTTCTGAGGTAATCATTTTATTGGGAGTAGATAAAAATCTTGAGCCAAAGCCTTACCATCTTAAGTATCGCTTTGCTGTTTCACAGGAGCTTTCCTAACTTAGATTTTTCTTTGCAAGATGATGCTTCTGGGCGAGGTAGTGGCAAAGCATCAGGTAACTTCAACTCAAGAAAGAGTTAGTCTGCCAGGTTTGTGACAATTTACTTTTATTCATCGCACACCACACTTTTCTCTTCTCATCCTTGACATTTTGCTGACATTTCCCTTTGACCCCTTATAGGAATTGATATGAACCCCATTAGGCAAGAATCATCCATTGTAAACGCTGATCATTTCGATGGTTGCTCACATAGCAAAGAGTGACTACAAGATATGATGCCAAAAAATGCAGGACAAGTTTAGGTAAACTTCTCATTTCATGCGCGGGAAGCGACGTGTGAACCCTACCCTGGTCAGGTTTAAAATTGGTGGTCGTAGTATAATATTACTCTGATAACTTGACCTTTCTGAACTAAGAAGTTAGACTATTGGTCTTGTTTTGTTAAAAATATGAAAAATGGTGATATTTCAAGCCTGAGTCATCGATTTATTTTTTAAAACAAGTTCGATGGTGAAATTGATGTGATATTTAGAATGAAATCGACAAGAGTTCATTATAATTTGCAGTTATCAATTTCATTTCTTCAATGGCTTCTACACATATCATAAATTGCATATTCTATCAGATAGTTGAGCTAAATGTGGTAGCTCCATAATGTAAAAGTTTGCATACATTCTATAGTATTATTTCTAATGATCTGACTGCTACAATTGGCAAGTTAGATTACAAGAATAAAGTATGTAGTAGCTCGCTTACTTCCTTACCTAAAATGCCATTTTTTCGGTGGTTCTCCTGTTCAGTTGCTGTATGCTAACATTTTTTTTGTTTTTTAGTCTTGGACAGCTTAGGAAATGGCGACTGATGAAACTGAAGTGAGGACCGAAGGCAGGACGACACAGTTCAGTAACCCAGCTGACACGCAGGCTGCCCCTTTATTTGCCTCTGTTACTGCAATAGTGACTTTTTTTTTTTGGAAGAGAGTGACTTAATTTTTTGATGAAGCAACCTGAAAGCTTCACCTTTCCTTTTTGTTTGAAAATTAGCAGGGCAGTATTAATAGTACAAAACCATGTACCGTTGCACTTGCACGTTTCATGGTATATGGAAAGCTACCTGGTGATTGAGACTGTAATGTATTTGCCAACACTCAACAATTAGTAGAATAAACCATGCTGCGCGCAAGCAACTGTTCCCACTCCCTTGAGGCTACTTAGCCAGCTCCATTACCAGAAATTCATCGATCAGAATTAGCAGCATAAGCCAAGCTGCGCACAAGCAATTGTCCCCACTCCCTTGAGGCTACTTAGCCAGCTCCATTACCAGAACTTTTCATCGAAGAGCTTGCGGAAAGTACCATCTTGTTCGACATAATAGCTCACATTCCTTAATTTGTTCATAGAATATAAGGAATTGATTGTGAGTTATCAAGAAGGCAACGGAGACACAGGTTAGACAATCATAACTCATACTATGGTGTCAGACTTATCACATAGTCCTAAATTTTAGCTTATTAGGTGATTCGGTTAGATCTAGGAGATAATCGAAAAGAAACAGAATCATGAGATCTTTCTCTCACTTGAGGATGCTATCTCTCTATATCATCAAAAATTTTACATGGCTTTGTGTCCGGTGCGAAAAGTGACCAACTAATAAATATTTGTCGTACTTTAACCTTCGGACGTGAACACAAATAGTGTTGTGGGCGTCGATATTTGTTGTGATCGGATGTGGCCCTAGCACTCAATGACATAGGAGTTTATAATTGGGTTGGACAACGTGTCCTATGTCTAAATTTTAGAGATCGGTAGAAACAAATGACTTTATTCCTTGAGCTATATCATGTGCTTTAAGTTTGTTGTGGGGTGACCAACTAATAAAACGAGAGGAAGTAAGATGGGGTATTAGAGGTCGCATAACGGCCGGACTCGGACGGTGATTTTATTCTCGAGCCAAGGGCCAAGAGTGGGGACGGGAGCTCCAAGTACTAAGTGTTCGAAGGGCCAAGATGCTCCAACGTACTAAGTGTTCGAACTTTAGAGTTCTAGAGTTCTAGAGCCAAGAGAGAATCGGAATCATCTGCCTCAATCGTCCTCCTTTTGAGAGAGCCCATCCCCTTTATAGATGAAGGGACAATTTTACAAGACCGAGAGTGAGAGAAAGAGAGAGTGTGTGCTACCTAGTCTTGTTGCCCATGCCGACGGGTACAAGGTGGTTTTGTCAATAATCACAATGTTGATGGTCGGATGCATGTGGTTGGTTCCACCGTGTTCTTCTGGTATGGCAAATGTCGACGCCTACCATACTGTAGGTCAAATGTCGGTGCCCACAACACTGTTTGTGTTCTGACATGTCTGGAAGGTTATAAAGTACCCTTCTGACATGACCCATCAGTACTGTCCTGCAGGTGTGCAGGGTACGGTCCTTGGTATTGCGGTTTGACTTCAACGCCCTGCCTTACTTGCTCCGCCTGATTATTTGGGTCCTTACCGAGCGGGCGTCCCCATTTGGTCGTTTCCCAGTCGGCTCCGACCGCGCCGGTTGGAGAAGAGTTGTAAGCAGAGGCTCGGTGTACTCCTAGTTGGAGAAGCGAGTCAGAGTCAGAAGCGAGCGTCGTCCCTCCTTGGCCAGGCCTTCCGGTCGGAGAGGCGGGCCGGAGTCGAAAGCGAGCATCGTCCCTCCTTGGCTAGGCCTTCCGGTCGGAGAGGCAGGCCGGAGTTGGAGGCGAGCGTTGTCCCTCCTTAGCCAGGCCTTCCGGTCGGAGAGGTGGGCCGGAGTCAGAAGCGAGCGTCGGCCCTCCTTGGCCAGGCCTTCTGGTCGGAGAGGCGGGCCAGAGTCGGAGGCGAGCGTCGTTCGTCCTTAGCCAGGCCTTCCGATCGGAGAGGCGGACCGGAGTCGGAAAAGAGCGTCGGCCCTCCTTGGCCAGGTCTTTCGGTTGGAGACTGGATCGCTCTTCCGGCCTCTCGTTAGGTATCTAGGCCGGCCCAGGAGTTGCGCGTCGTTCGCAACGTTGTCTGCTGGGCCGAGCTTTTGTTGGGAAGCAGGTTTATGAACCCGACAGGAGCACCCGAGCCCCCGGGTGATTCGAGTTGAATTGTCTGGGGGATTTTTCGTTTTAACAGCGGGTGTGCGGGTGTAGCCCCCGGGTGATTTGGGTAGAATCGCCTAGGGAGTTTTTCATTTTGACAGCTGGTGCACGCGAGCGCACCCGCGGGTGTAGCCCCCGAGCCCCCGAGCGATTCGGGTAGAATCGTCTGGGGGTTTTTCGTTTTGCCAGCGGGGGGATTTTTCGTTTTGACAACGGGTGCGCGCGAGCGCACCCGGTGGGTGTAGCCCCCGAGCCTGCGTCCGACTGGTGAGTTAGTTGGAGGCTGAGCACCTTGGTACTCTTTTCTAGGGCCATAGACTGTCGTTCAGGGTGTTCGCCCGTGTTTGTCCCACCTGCGACCTGCGCGGTCGGTTGATTTCCCGAGTCGGTGTCGGGCGACCTGAGTCCCTGAGCCCCGTTGGGCTTGGTAGGGGTTGGTTTAGTTCCGTGCATTACCCCATCCATGGTTTCCACAACCAGAGGGGCTGAGCTAACATCGCTTGCCTCGATGGCTCGAGTGACGCGCTCGGTGAGCTCGCTAAAGGGCACATTTGAGTGGAATCCGGGTTTGTCGTTCGTGATGGGGTCGGCATAGCCCTCATGTGGCATTCCACTGCTCCTTAACCCACATCCTGGCAGATGCCTAGGTCATTCCGGAGACCGACTCAGGTGGCCCGCTGGCCTCCCCTCGATGGAAATTCTATGGGCATGGCTCGAGGTTAGGATCGAACGAGAAGGTTGAGATGACCCTGTCTGCTTCGGAGCAGATTAGGCGAGGGTTGCTAGGGCTCATCTGCATTTTCTCCCCTAGCCCTATTTGACGTGAGGCGGCCTCGAGCCCTTTGCGGGCCGGCCTTTGAACCCCGATCAGTCGTTGCTCATGTTGAATGAGGCAACTACTGCTTCGTGACGCAACACGCAGCGTTGTGATGCATTAATTGCATATGCGATGCTTCGGATGTATGGGATTAATGAATGACTGTATGAATGAATGTGTGAATACATGTATGAGAATGGATGAATGAATGATCATGCATCAGAAAAATAAAGTAAGAGGGATTGGTAGAGTTACCTTGATGACTCGAGTGATAGGCTTGAGGAGTTTTTATCAGATATGCCTGAATGGGATCCATGTTCGTCGTTCATGACGGAGTCGGCATGGCCCATATGGGGCATCCCTCTGCTCCTTACCTATCTCTCGGCATTCGCCTGAGCCATCTAATCAACTCAGGAAGCCCGTTGGTCTCTCTTTGGCGGAGATCCCGTTGTTGGGCCCTTCTAAGTCCTGCCTAGGAAGGCGGAGGGCCGCCTACATGCGGTTGTGCCTTGTTTCCCACGCCCAGCATGCGGTAGTGGTGGGCCATGCCCAGCCCACATCCCGTCTAACCAAGCATTGTCTCATCGGGCAGGGTACATCTCATCAGTCAGGACGCGTCCCACCGCATTCCCATCTGCATTGAATACGGGAAGGGAGAGGGCTTTTGCCCCAATCCTTTGCCTTTCTCCAACTACAGCCTCTCCTCCTTCTTCCTTCTCGCCAAGTGCGTTCGTGTGTCACAATGGTTCCTAAGTGAGAGAGGGTAAAGCAAGGGAGAGAAGGACTCAGATCCGTTCGTAAATCCAAAGCGCAATGTCGAGCTGGAGGCCATCCAACGTAGATGAGACAGTGCTGGCCACCTTCGCCAAGAAGGGGCTGCTTCCACCGAAGGAGGTGGCGCATTGGAGGGCTCCTACGGGGGAGGCTTTTCCACGACCTCGGGCCGGCGAGGTTGTCTCCTTACTCGCCTTCCATGAGCGCGGGCTAGGATATCCTATGCACTGGTTCCTGCACGGGCTCCTCAATGAGTGGGGCCTGGAGCTATAGCACCTCAATCCAACTAGGGTGCTGCACGTCGCCGGCTTCGTCACCGTCTGCGAGGCCTTCCTCGGGATGGAGCCGCATGTGGACTTCTTCCGGTGGATCTTCACCGGGCGAGCTTTGTCGGAGGGGAAGCCGCCCAGGACCGCGCCGGTTGGGGGCTTCGCTCTATAGAAGAAGCCGAGTTCGTTGGGCTCCTACCCTACATACACCCCCTGTGACTCCAATCGGGGGTGGCATAGGGAGTGGTTCTACATTAGGAACCCAGCGAAGGCACCATTTCCATAGTTCACCAGTAGAAGGCCGGAGAGGTGGGAGAG